TAATTCTATCACCAGGAACACTATTATAATATGATCTAGGACACTGGCCAGCTCAGAAGTCACCTGGCTAGGTGCACAGAACCTAACAACAGTGGAGCCTGCTGGGTGGCTGGCTGCACAGCCCTGCTCTTTCTGAGGATCCACACATCTCCCTTTCCTGCAGCCCTACCCACCTCAACACAAGACTGCACACATCAAGGTCAGAAAAGTACAGATTGGCGGGGCTGGGGATATAGCTCAGTTGGTATAGTCAGTGCTTGCCTCGGATGCACAAGGCCCTGGGTTCAATACCCAGCACCATCAAAACAAGAAAGAAAGAAAGAAGGAAAGAAAGAAAAAAAGAAAGAAAGGGAAGTACAGACTGAATAGATACTACAGAATTGAGAGGAGCAACTTCAGAGAGCTCAGGACCCCCCTGGGAAGGGGCTCACTCAGGAATTACTGAGGGAACTTCTAGATTCAGAAGCACCAGAGGATCCAGCACCAACTCCACATCAGTTCCGTGAGGGGAAGACCTCGTTGACAAACATACTGCTTAGGTGTTAAGAACCAGAATCCAAGTGAAAGTGCCAGCTGGTGAATCACAGGGTGGTGGCAGTAGCAGTTGTAGTGAATATGCGTGTGGAGGGTGTACATTTCAGGCAAGAATGAATTTAGGATGAATTTAGAGAATGAATTTAGAATGAATCGGGCATAACTTTCCTAAGTTCATATATGAATACACAACCAGTGTAACTCCACCTCATGTTCAACCACAAGAATGGGATCCTAATTAGAGAAGTTATACTCCATGAATGTAAAATATGTCAAAACACATTCCACTATCATGTATATCTAAAAAGAACAAATAAAGAGAGAATGAAATTCTGGCCAAAGACACAAGGAGTCATTAATAATAAACATCTGCCCAGGGAATGTATGAGAAAACAGTGATGTTTCTCAACCTGACGATTTTACAGAGACGTTTAAACTTATTTAGTGTGTACTGGAAAACTACTGGCCAAGGTCCCATTTCTTCATACAGGCAACCTTAGCTCACGCCAAGCTGGAAATGCCATAATATTTAAGAGTCCTAGAGAAAAGCGTGGTGCACAAGCTTGCAATTCATTTCCAGGACTCCTCCCCCAGCAGCTCCAGGACATCCCGAAGCCCGTCCCACCTGTTTTCTGCCCTTGCCTGAGGCCAACTGGGCAGCGGTGCCGTGTGACAACGCTCACAGAGGCTCCGTAGCCTCGGGCCAGTCACCCCACCACTCCCAGCCTCGAGTTGCCAGTCGGTAAAATGGGGATGCCATTAACAGTTAGCAACCAGGGGCGCAGGCGCGCCCCTGAACCCCTGACCACTCGGAGCACCGTCTGAGCCCAGGAGTTTTAAGGCCAGCCTGGGCGACACAGCGAGACGCCTGTCTCAAAAAAAAAAAAAAAAACAAAAAACCGAAAAGGGTGGTCAGGGAGCAGGCGAGGCACTCCGTCTGTGGAAGCGCTTAGGAAACCTAAAATGCTGTGCCAGGGGGCGGCTGCTAACAGGCGGCTGGGAGGGGACCCGGAGCTCCGGGCTGGAGCCCCAGCTCCGTATTCCGAGTCACTTCCCCGCTAAACTTCGGCTGTCCTGACTCGAGGGGGGTGGAGACGCGGGTGGAGACAGCGCCGGGATCCCGCAGGACAGGGCCCCTTGCCGAGGAGGGGCGCGGCGCGGGGCCCCGGGAACGCGGCCCTGCGGGGCTACCGCTCCCCACGCGCCGGGCTCCGACCTCGCAGCCGCCCCACCCGCCGCCCGGGGTCCGCCCGCCCGACGGCGCCGCCAGCCAGTGGGCGACCGGGCGGCCCGGCTGGCGGCGGCGGCGGCGGCGGCGCGGCCAATGAGGAGCGCGGTTGAAGCAAGGGGCGGGCGCAGCCGGCCCTCGCGTTGCGCCGGGACCGCTCCCTCCTCCGCCCTGAGCTCTGCTAGGCCGCAGACTCCGTGCTTCGAAGAGAGAAAAGGCCACTCACCGTCCCTTCGTTGCCGCTCCGCGCTTCCGTATCAGCTCGTCCAGGGAGATGTCCGCCATCTTGCGCCACCGAGCAAGCCAAGAGCAGCTTAGACGCCCTCAGCCCGCGAGCCCGCCCCTTCGGCCGCTACGGTGAGACGATCTGCTTCCGGCGTCCGTCCAACCAACTCTCGCGATAGTTCACACGAGGAAAGGACCGGAAGGGGCGTGGATATTCCCATCAGCCTTCGCGATGCGCACTCCTTATCTGCATAAAGAGGGTCTGAGCCCAGGGGGTCTGCTCTTTTTCCTGAACAAATGAAATTTAAAAGGTCATAAGAAATTAATAACAAGTAAAACAAACCTCAAAAGAATGAGGCTGTAAGTTTAACGAGCAACTCTGTACTCACCATAGGTTTAATAAGAATAGAATCTGCTACCCAGGAAGTGTAGAGCTCTCTTTCTTTATGCCTTAAACTTATGAGTAAGGAAAATAACGATTCGGGGTGACGCCCGAATCCTCACTGCAAATGTGAGACGAATTTTTGAGCGGGTAAAGGTTGCCCCTAAGGTGACCCGCCTACTTTGCGGGATGCCTGGGAGTCGCGATCTGCCCGTCCCCTATAAATTGAAAAAAAGTAAGGTTTTTGAAAAGTTTTTATCTCTGAGTGGCTGGTGACGTTATCTTTCAGCGTGGGAAATTTTTCCTTTTTTGCAAGTATTTTTATATATAGTGAGCCACAGTGGTGGTTAGTAGTGACAAGTACTGTCCTCGGAACGGGAATTCCTCAGGTCCCGCTGGCTTTGAGGTTTTTCATCGTGTGATGTTGGTTTGGGTGAAAGCTGCAATTCCATTGGTCGCAGGATTTTCTCAAGCAAATCGCTCACGATTCTGCGCCTCTGCCCTCCTGTAAAATGGGACAAACGACGCTAGCCATTGGGCAGTTAACTAGTCCAGTTCGTTACTGTTCCATATGTGCCATGGCTCTTCATCTTGCACCCTCAAAACCAAGACGCTGGGTGGGATCCCCAGCGTCACTGATACAAAACACACGATTAGATCAAGTGGAGTTATGTCATTTGTGGGGGACAGGGATGGAACCCAAGGCCTGTACCAGTAAGCTACACCCCCAGCCCTTGAATTTTGTACTCAAGGAAGTTAAGAGAAAGGGAGGCCCACTGTCGAACTCAGCCCTGGGGCCAGCTGGACCTCAGGGCCAGATGCAGGGGAACCTGGAGGGGTCGGAGGAGCAGGGGTAAGGCCCTCTCTTGCCCTAACCTAGATAAGTTAAAGATTAAAATGGTACTTTTTCCCGAAGCCAGTACAACGAATCATTAACTGTGTCATTTAATTCTGGGATGGTGTCTCTCCCCTGGGCTTTGGAACCTTCTTGGAGTCTTTCGTTGTCCAAAGACAAGGATCACCTGCACTTAGGGGTGGGGACTGAGGTGGGGCAGCCCAGGGGCACTTCGGGGTCCTCCCAAGATCCCCTGCTTTCCTGGAGGGGAGAGTCCCTTTACACACCGCTGAGCCAGGCCTTGGGTCTGTCTGTGGACGCACAGGACTTTGGTGTGCACAAGCTGGAACCTCCAGCAATGCAGCTGGGCAGCAGCCAGAATTCCACTCCAAAGTGTTTGGAAATTGGCCCTGTTGTCCCAGGAGTGCACTGCACATGTGGGGCTGGGAGAGTCCGCAGGGACCTTGCATCTGTGCAAACTGCTGTCCCTGTGGGGTTCTGCCTCCTGGGGCACTTGGGCTCAGTGCTTGCTTAATGATATATGCATGGTTTGGTGTAAATAATTCTTTATTGCTCTTTCATAAGGTAGTTGCAGCTTTGTGTGGATCTACTGAATTCCTTGCATAGGAAGGTGGTACTGCCTGTGAGCTCTCTCCAGGGAACATAAAGGGGGCAGCTGAAAACGTTATTCAAGTGACCTCGGTCTGGGAGGAAAGGGACTTGGCTCCATGAGTGAACTGACCTGGTTCACTAATTGGTTCTGTTTTTGAGGTGCTGGGGATTGAACTGTAGGGCATGCTGGGTGAGAGTGGTCTATCACCCAGCCACAGCCCAGCCCCCTCAGCCTTTTGTGGATGGGGACACGGAGGCCAGAACAGGTCCAATTCCTCTTCTGGCCCTGTTTTCTCATCCTCAGACGGGACAGGAATGAGACCTGGTGTGTGTCAAGTGCTCCAAATAGTCCCTGCACACAGTGTGGGGAAGGGCCATGGGGGCCTGCAATTCCTAGGCAGAGTCATGGCCTTGCTCCTGTATGTGGCCCAGGACCAGGGGCAGTATGGAAGAGGGGCCATACCTCTCAACCCCTGAAGACGGGCATTTCTTCCTGCTCCACTCCACTCCTGCCTCCCTGGCCCTCACCACTTCCTCTGCCCCAGGACCTTTGCACCTGCTGTTACCACTCTGTGGAACACCTGCCCCAGTGGAATCGGCTCCTTCCCTTCTTGGAGCTCATGTGCATCTCCTGGGAGGTTTCTGCAGCCCAGCTTTAAGAACATTCCTCCCCTGGGCCTTGACCTATCTGCTGCCTTGAAGTCACCATCCTGCAAATGGTACGTCCTGTTGGTGTGTGGTGCCCTTCCCAGTGAGTACCAGGACCAGGGGGCAGTAACAGGAAGGGGACCCAGTTGAGCCCCACACGTGGGCCCAGGTGTGAAGGAGTGAGGGTGTACAGGGCTTTGTGCTCCTGAGACAGGCCTGGGGGCCTTTCCACAGGGAGGGACAAGGCTGAGCCCCCGGGGCCACACCCTGGCTGGACCTTCTTCCCAGAGCTGGAGCAGGAGAGCTCAGTGGTGGGTGCTGGTGAGGAGGGTGGGGGGCTGCCATCACTTCCAGACTGTCAGCTGGAGGCAAATGCGTCATGATCACCTGGGCTTCCGTCAAGGGGGGAAGCTGGGGGACACTGAGGGAAGCCGCTGGTGGACAGGGGCCCAGTCAGCCGTGGCCTCTGGCGGCCGCGGCTCTTTCCTAACTACCCACAGCTGACTCTGTCCGCGGCAGAAACAGACCCGGCTGCGGCCACAGTCGTCGGCATCAGCAGTTTTACTTCAGCTCTCAGCTGGGACAGCGGACAGCCACCGTCACGGCAGCTGGGACAGGAGGCACCGCTCAGGTCTCAGGGGGCAAGGCAGGCGGGCGGAGGCTGGGACAGAGGGACAGAGAAACGCCAGGTTCCCTGCGGGGTGACCGCTACCTGCCGGGCCCTCCCCACCAGGCCTGGGGGCCACCTCCCGGGGCAGGGGGGGGACTGCTGGGGCCCGGGGTGGGACGCAGCTTCTCACCCCTGCCACGCCCTCCCAGGGCCTTCAGGTGTGACCTGACTCTGCAGCGTGGGGGCCATGTCCCAGGGCCCTGGCTGGGACATTCTGGGTCACCTGCAGCTCTGGGCTGCCTTTCCGTTTGTCAACTGGGGCTGCCAGGAGGGCTGGGTGGGGCGCGGGCAGCAGCGTCGGCCTGTGCCTTGCTGTGGGGGGACCGGGGTAGAYCAGGGGTGGCATCTCCGGTAAGAACCAGCTAGTGCCAGATGGGAAGCTGTTCCCAAGGTGGCCAGCAGTGGCCCACCTGAAACAGAACCTTGCTCCCAAAGGGCCCCTCAGGGGCCAGCTCAGCTGGTGACCACCAGGGCACGGGCAGGCCAGGCTGAACCCGGGGCCCCAGTGTGCGTGGGGGTGGACGTGGGGGAACCGATGGGAAAGAATGGCGGTGGGGGGCGAGGACGGACGTGGAGAGTTCCCGGCGACGCGCGTGGGGCCAGCGCCCGGCCATCAGAAGGCGAAGCAGAGCTCCTTGGGGTGACCCACGCGCTCCAGGTTGGGCAGGCAGGCGTACTGGATCATGGGCGGGGGGCCACACATCAGCACCAGCGTCTCCTCCCCGGGGGGCGGCAGGTGGTCCCGGATCATCTCCTCGTTCACGAAGCCCTGGCTGTAGTCCCAGGCTGTGGGCGAGAGACCAGGTGACTGCGGCTCGCTGACTGCCCGCTGCCCCCCACCCCCTTCCTTTCCAGCAAACACAGGCTGCAGAGGGTGACCGGCGGGCCCCACCCCAGCCCTAACACCTGTGGCTTTAGGCCCTGCCACTCAGGGGCCAGGAGCCCTTCAGCGCTCCTTGCGCTGCACTTCACAGTTTGCAAAGCCTCTTGCCTCCATCTGGCCTCTCTCGTGGCCCCCACAACCACCCGTGGGCTGACAGGGCAGGGCGTGCTGGCTCCATCTTATAGATGTGGACCAAGGTCATGCCAGGAGGCAGGGACAGTCAAGACACAAGCTGCACGTCCCACGGTCCCCGAGCCAGTGCCCGGCCCTGTGCAGGTCAGGGTGTGGTCCTCGTCCTCCCACAGGTTCTGGCCTGACTCTGCCCCCACAGTCCATCTCTGTCCCGCAGACCCCCAGCCACACCGTGCCCCCAGGGCCCCCTGGGTCGGGAGCGCCTTTTCATTCCAGGCAACTGGCAACGCGGGGGAGGGGGCGGGTGCTCGTGGACCCCCAGGGAAGAAGTGGACACCAACCTGCCCGCACAGTGGCCAGCAGGGGTGTGGCCCTGGGCTGGCAGGGCTGTGAGGGAGACGGGACCAGGTGGGGGCAGCAGGGAGGAAGAGGAGGCGGGCGTCCACCCTGGCTGCAGCCCGCCAGGCACCCCACACGCCCTGTGCCTCCGTCCCCACGTGTGGACTCAGTCCCTCCCGCCTGTCCCACAGAGGTCCAGGGGAGAGGGGTTCCCTGCTGCTCCCCAGCAAGGAGGGCGCCCGGGCCTGGAGCGCAGGGCAGGTGCTGGTCACCAAGCTGCGCCCCAGCCCAGGCCCCGTCTGGAATGCACCATTTTTTGAGATTTTTTCCAGTGGGACAAACAYCAGTTGGGACCTAAGGGCACTGCAGCTGTGGCCTTCCCACATGACCGTGCCAAGCAGCTCAGCCCCAGGAGGTGCAGGGGCAGGCCAGCTGACGCCCACCGCCCGCCTCGAGCTTCCCACCTGAGGAGCCGCCGTGGGAGCCTGACTCCCGCCAGCCCCCAGTTCAGCTGGAGGGTGACACTCGGGCAGCTCCTCCCGCGTGGCTTGGGAGGGGGACAGGGATGGCCAGAGAGCGCGGCAGCAGGGCTGCACGCCCGCGGGGTGGCATAAGGAAGTGGCAGAACAGACAGAGGGACGCTGGGTCACCAGCACCTGCCTTTGGAGCCCCTACTGGCTGGGACAGTGGCTTCCTGCCCCATGTCCCCCAGCCCTGAGCACCCAGGTTTGTTCTTTGCCCCCGGAAAGAACCTTCTCAAAGGCCAGGGCAACGCGGTACTGCGGATGCCCAGGGTGAGGGGCGCGGGCTGACGGGAGGCACCTGCCCAGAGGGACCGCGCCCCCCGCGGCACCCAAGCCCGCTCACTGGGGCTCCTGGGGCAGGAGGGACCGAGATGCTGAGCTGGGCCGGGAAGTCTACTGCCCTGGGCGAGGGGTCTTCTTCTCCTGGACCCCGCCAGCCTCCCCTTGGCTGCCGGGAGACAGAGCGAGGCGCAGGCCGTGCGCTCGTGGGCACCTCGGCGCATTGGTCCACCTCATTCCCGGCTCCGCTTCGTGGCCCTGCCCTGGCTCCTCTTCCACCCCCTCGCACCTGCACCCCTGTGACTCCCCGTGTGACCCCCGAGCTTCCTGTCCCCCTCCTAGAACAGGGGGCACAGGGAACGTCTTCACAGCTGGGCCGCAGACTCGGAAGGACTTTGTAAAAGGCTACCTGGGAGAAGCCGAGCGCCAGACGTGAAATGTGTGGCTGAAGACACGCGTCCCCGGCAGGAGGGGGACTTGGTGTCCTTTTGTTTACACACGTGTTGGAGGGGGTTCCTGGGGAAACTGCAGGGGGCCGCCCGGTCCAACATCGTCGGCTCCTGTTGGACTGTGGGTCAGGCGGGAACAGATATCCCCATGACCCTAACTCCCCAGGAGGTGGCCCACATTGTCATATGCCACCAGCAGGGGTCAGCACTGGCCCTGCCTGGCTGGGGGCTAAAGTTGGACCTACCCTTGGGGCACCATTAGTCACTGAAGCCAGAGGGGCCACCAGAGGCCCCCCGCGGCCCACCGCAGCCCCCTGCCCCCCTACAGATAAGTAAGATAACGTTCCTTTTGTTACTGGAGRAAAAAAAATGCAGCTCCAGCTCCCAGGCCAGTGGCCCTGCGGGCTCCCCACAACCGGTGGAGGGTGTGGCAGGGAGGGGACTGGCTGGGAAGGGCTGACACYAGTCCAGCCAGAGGCCTGAGGACACAGCTGTCAAGTCCCGGAATCCACCAGGCCCAGGCCTGGCTCAGTCTGGAAGGCCTAGAACCCAATTTGGTCATCCCAGAGGGCGCCAGTCCCCAGAGCCGGCTGCTGTGGACAGAGCCTCCCGCAGCGGGCGCCGTGTGCCCCGTGCTGTGGAGGAGTCTGGGGGAACGGCCGCACTGCGCAGAGCAGGAGCAGGGCCAGCGCAGGAGGGGGACGCAGACCAGGAGGGTGCTCCAAGAGGCGAGCAGAGGAAGGGCCTGGAGAGGCCTGGCCACACAGGGCCCAGGCCGACCCCACAGGCCACCCCTGCAGGGGCCGGACACTCAGTTACCACCGTGCCCTCGGGTCTGGCTACCCTGGAGCCAGCACCACTGGCACTGCCCCCCAGGAAGCTGCGGCTGCTGCTCTCCTTCTGGCCACGGAGCAAGGTGCTTCTTGGCAAGTGGAGCTGGCCTGGTTCCCAGAGAGCAAGTTTTGGGGTGGCCCTCATTCACTGCCTCCTACACGGTCAACAGCCTGCCCACCTGGACGGGCAGAACGGAGGTGGTCACACCAGCCAGGCCCGCTCCCAGGCTGTGGTGGGAGGACAGTGGAGTCCGGCCGCGGCCACCCCGCCTCCCAGCACCACCCCAGAGAGCAGCCTCCTCCGTCCAGAGGGGCAGCGTCCTGGCTGCAGGACCGGAGCTGAGACCTAGAACAGGTCCAGCCCGGCTCTGGCGTTTCCTAGCTGAGCAACGTGGGCACTCACTTCCCCTCCCTGAGCCCTCACTCCTCATCTCAAGAGGGGCTCACACCACTGCCCCCTCACAGGGTCATGGGGACACCAAATGGGACGCACCAAGGGCCAGGGCAGCCACCCCCCTGGGGCCTCTCGCTCTCACCTTCAGGGGCTTTGTCCACCGTGTACCAGAGCTTGAAGCGGGCGGAATGTTCATTCCTCAGCTCCTCCAGCTCGGGCCGCAGCAGGATATCCTTCTCCGTCTGCAAGGACAGGGCCACCCTTGGAGACGCTCACCAGGGGCAGCCACCGCTCCCACACTGGGCAGACTTCCAGCAGGGCAGAGGGCACAGCCCACCAGAGCCCTAGGGACGCCTCACCTGCCCCCACCGCCCACCTAGGGAGCCCTGAGCTGCCACCAAGAGGGTCGTGGCGCCCACACGGGGCTGGGCAGCCTTTCAATGCCGCACACTACAAAGACAAGTGGCAAGACAGAGGCCCAAACCACAGGGGACACTCAACAGGACTCAGAACAGCACAGGGACGGCCACCCCGTCACCACGACCCCCAGGGGCTACGAGACCACGCAGGAACCGGCCCCTTCAGGTGGAGGCTTCGCTGCCCTCGGCCCTCCAGGCCAGCTTCGCAGCTCGGGGATCAGGGCCTACACCCCCATCAGGATCGCGGACACCACCCGCCCTCAACCTGGCCCAGCCCCTCTGCAGCAGCCCCACCAAGCAGCTCCCAGGCCTGCAGCTTTCGGTTCAGCATCACCCCCTCCAAGAAGCCCTCCAGGACTCCCCTGGGGGATCAGGGACTCCCCTTCGAGATCCTCTAACGGAGCCCCTGACCACAGGCCGATGCCCAGTGTCGGCAGGTCATTCAGAGACAGGGCTCCTCAGGTCAGTGTGCAGTGTCCCTGACCTCATGGGACTCTGAGAAACAAGGCCCAACAGCACTGCCAGCCAGAGAGGGGCAAACAGTGCTGGGTGGACACTCCCCAGCCAGGCAACCCAGGGAGGGTGACTTTGACCTTCAGGTGCATGATCCACGGGGCCTGAAGGCACTGAGGGGCACAGGGCAGAGGGCAGAAAGAGGACCAGCATGTACCTAGCCCTGCAGTGGGGTGGCCACCTGGCTGACAGGGAACAGCCCACATGTGGCCTGGCCCCTGTGGGACCCCACAGCTCCGCTCCCCAGCGCTCTCAGGGCCTCAGGTGGGAGGCACAGGCCCCTGCTGGCCCGGAGTGGGCGTCGACTGTGTTCCCAGGCTGTGGGGGGCAGCTCCCTCCAGCGGGGCCCAGGAGGTGGGGTGCACCTCCGCCCGTCTGCTACACAGAGCCTTCAGAGACCCCTCCTGTGCCAGCCATCCCCCAGCCAGAGCCATGTGGGACCCTGGGCAGCCTGTCCAGCCCCATCTCCTGGCGGTGGAAGCCAAGCTTACACATTTGGGTGACGTCCACTGACCTGGTTGGCAAAGAGCAGGTGGCAGACAGTGTGGTCATCYGGGTCCTTCATGATGGCGCGGATCACCTGCAGCATCGGGGTGATGCCTGCAAAACAGCACCTGCCTGTACCTGTGCCTCCTCCCACACCTGGACCTCGGCCCATGGCAACTCAGTGGGGGGTCCCCGTACCTGTCCCTCCTGCAATCATGCCCACAGACTTCACCGTCTTGATGACAGGGTTGGATTTCTTGTCCGGGCGGATGGCAAACTTCCCTGGGGGAAGAAGGGGGGTGAGCCGGCTCAGTGGGCCAGGGTGGACTGGGCTGCAAGGGTCCAGGGAGGGGGCAGCGCCGCACAACCCAGGACAATTAGGGTGAGAGAGGAAGGTGGAGACCCAGGGCCCCACCAAGATGCCAGAGGGGATTCCAAGAGGAGTCTGCAGTCGTGGAGGCAGAGTGCAGAGGCTGGTGCAGGGGAGGCTGCCAGGGTCTTGTGCTGGCTTGTGTGGGGGCACTGAGTCACCCAGACAGGAGGTCTGCAGGATGGATCTGGCCCCAAGGGCAGCTGGCCAGCCACCCCGGTGCTGGCCACCTATCCCCTAAACAGCCAGGGAGGCTCAGGACGGCTTGCCCCACCAGTCTGCACCAGAGACTCGGGTCCCCCCAGCACACGCCTCTCCGGGTCCACGCAGCCCGGGGAGCCAACGCGAATCACCTTTGCCCTGGTAGACCAGCAGCCCGTTGGGGCCCCGGAACTCGATGGTGTCTCCGATCTGCATGTTTTCCAAGTACTGCGACATCTTCCCTCCATCGGGGAACTTGGGGTGGGTGTCCTTGAAGTAAACCTGCAGGACAACTCGTGCAACTTGGTCCCTGCCTCAGGGACGCGGGGGGTGCACCTCCTCTGGGTTCTCATGAGGCCCGTGTGGCCTTCTCCCGGAGGGACCCTCCCCCACCAAAGCTCACCACCCATGTCCTGTGCCCCAGGAATCTGCCCTCCACCCAATGTCCCTGGGAGAGCAGGGTCCCAACTCCCAYTGGGACTCCGCTGGCCTGCATAGCAAAGGCCCCGGGACCCGGTCCTCCTGGCCCAGGTCTCTCCATCTGTCCAGTCATAAAACCATCAGCCTTGGAGTGGCCCCCTCCCCAGCCCTCGGGACCACGGCCCTGGGAAACGGGGATAACGCCCTGGGAGATGTGGGGAGACGGGACAGCGGCACTCTGCCAGGGCTGGGCCRGCGTCCAGGGGCACTGTGCTGGGCATGGCTCACGGGTAGAGCACCTGCCTAGCAGATGCGAAACCCTGGGTTCCACCTCCAGCACCAGGAAGAAAGGGGGGCCCAGTGACAGGGCTCAGGGGTCCCTGGAGGCGCTGGGCAGGGAGGCCRGGGACGTCTGCATCTTGACTGGGGAGTCTTGGCCCGCGGCCGACAGCCTGGGGGCTCTCACCTGCTGGGTGTGCTCTCAGGTCGGGGTCGCCCCCTGAGCTGTGTTTCTAATCTTATAACGTGGGACTCGCTGCTGGTGGCAGTTTTCTCTCTTTCCACTCAYGTGCATTTTTTTGTTTTGGGGGGTACCAGGGACTGAACCCAGGGCACTTAGCCACTGAGCCACACCCCCAGCCCTTTTCTGTATTTCATTAGAGACAGGCTCTTGCTAAGTTGCTTAGGGCCTCAMTAAGTCGCAGACGCTGGCCTTGAACGTGCCATCCTCCTGCGTCGGCCTCCCAGGCCTCATGACCGTGCCCGGCGGCATGGTGTTGAAGATCCCTGCCAGGTGCTCGTCCCTGGTCTGCTGCTCTGACAGCTGCATCCTGTCCACGGTGGGCATCCACTTCCCTCCCCGTGACAGACCCCAGAGAACCCCTGGGCCCAGCTCCCTGAAGGACATCCACAGTTTCCTCACAGGCTCCCCAGTGGACCTGTGGGCCACAGAGGCCCTCTCATAAGCACGCTCGTCACCCGGCCGTCGCGCCTCGGGAGTGTGTGTCCACTCCAGCTGCTCAGCCTTCCTGGCCCCTTTCTGCAGATCGCCTGTCCTGGTTTCGAGACGCCCAGCCTGGCCCCTGGCCCCACCCTCTGCCGAAACCCCTCATTGGCTGTTGCTGGTAAACTATAATTTGCTGTTAACTCAGAAACAGGGGCAAGGAAGCACCGGGCCTTCAGAGACTGTGGGGACTCGGGTGTGGCTATGCCACACTGCCCCCTGAAGCCGCGCCTTGGGACCTCACCTTGATGACCAGGTCCACGAAGCCCTTGTCGTCATCACTGGACACAGGTGTGTAAGGACGAATGACCAGGTTCCCGTTGATGCGAGTGGAGAGGTAAATGTGCTGACCTGCAAGACAGGAGGGGTCACTCTGGGCAGGGGCAATCATGGCAGACCACCAGGGCCGTGCACCTGCCTGCATTCAAACCCCGGCCTGGTCTTGGTTCCCACGGCGCCACCACCCCCCCAGGGGGCCCCCAGCATTCCCAGCTCCCTACCTCTGTCCCTGCTGGCGCCACCACCCAGGACCCCAGGGACCTTCCACTCACATTCTAACAGACTCATCCCCCAAGGCCTGGGACGCTGTCACCTCCCTCTTGAAGCCCTTCTGCTCTCCCTGGAATTGCCAGGCGCCCACCTCGCTGACCTAGCGCCCAGGTCTGCAGCTCCCTGCAGCCAGGTCGGGTGGGACTCACCGATAGGGAGGCCCAGGATGTGCTGGGGCGACGGCAGGGCAAAGCGGAAGCGCCGGGTGTCGTGGCTGATGATCTGCAGAGAGGCCCAAAGCCGCCGATGGCACCTGGGGCAGGCGCACTGCCGCACCCCAGGCCCCCCCTCCCCAGGGTCCCTGTGCGTCCTTCTGAGAAGTGACGCTGACACGGGAGACGCGCTCACACCAGGGGCCCTCTGCTCCTGCTGGTCCCTCCCTGCCACAGCCCCAACAACAAGGGGGTCAGAGCAAGGATGGACCCAGGGCTCCAAAGGGAGGACATCGGGTGCCCAAAAGTGCCCCAGGGGAAGGAGGACCCAGCCCCAGCTGAGCCAGGGCCTGGGAAGAGCCGACACAGGCCACATGTGGCCCAGCTGCCCAGGTCCCGCTGCAAGAC